TTGAAGAAAATATTTCAGCTCCAAGGGTAGTAAATCAGGGGATGTGTCCGGCTTATTGAATCTCATCCACTTTCCGTTAACCACATTCAATAAAACTTGGCAAATAGATGTAATTCCACATACAAGAAGCGTAGAGCTTTTTGTAAAATTGATCGTCAGATCAGAGATCGATCGATCAGAGATGTACCTATTTCTGCCGTCAAGCAGTACTGTGAGCATTACTGCGTTCCGGTTTTGAAGGGTAAGGGTGCTGGTAAAATTACACGCACATGAGACTTGTCTACTTATGTCTCAGAATGACGGGCGCAGTGGCAGTGTCAGATCTCTGTCATATATTGATCTGAATGACAGTGCAACTGCTATGGACAGGCGTGTCGCTTACCACCAGGCGTACGACTTAGTATCACAAAAAAAACTTTTGAGATTGTTTTTTTTTTGTCAAAACGTTACAGTTATGTTACCCGCCTTGCTTTTATCAATTTGTTTTTAATATTAGTGCGCTTTATCCTGTCTGGTAAATTTTCTTTTACTGTTTTTGATCTTTGTTGGGTTTGAAAATGACTGCTTTCTGTTGTTTATAAACACTGGAGCTATACTGGATGATGTAACAAATGTATTAATGTACATCAAGCTTGACACTTAAGATTTAAATCCATCTCTATACCGCTTACAACAAGAACGGTCCAAAGTACAAAGTGTCAAGTCTAATGTGCACTTGCCAGTACCAGAATTAATTGTAAACCACCTCTTTTTTGTGTTCCACCAATCATATTTTATAAGTTTATTGTAATAGACTTAGTCAGAATGGGTGGCATCTTGCATGCTCATAGTGCGAGACAGCTCAAACGGAGTTCTCAAAGTGCTAGGGGATAGGTTGGACTCTGATCTGCTGGCCAGCTTCATCGAACTTCTCGTCGCGCGTCCTGGAACCTCGGCGAGGTTACCAAGTATCATGTAGCATATGAACCTTAATTCAATTAATATTATTTTATTTTTATCTTTTATTTTTGTACTAACAATAGAATAAAATTAATTTGTAAGTTTCCATCAAAATGGCCTGTAAATTGTCTGCAATAAATGTATTTTATTTTTATTATTTAGTTATTGTTATTGTGAGGCTATACACCTCCTTTCTTTTTTTTAAGCAAAATCACAAAATTGAGTACAGTCGTCCGTGAAAGTGTTCGTATTTTATGAAATATGTATTACGTTCGTATTCAAAGCAACTAAACATTTGACCCGCCCACTTGAGGCATCATCAATAGCTTTATTACAGCAACAAAGCTACCAGAAATGTCAACTGCACGCCCACGACGTGTACATTGACATTACGTCATCACCGTCGGCACTACTAACCTAAACATTAATGCAAGTATGTCTAAGCTACAACTTGACAAGGTTGCTAAGAGTGCGCGTACGCACGATATGATCTCAATACAACTGCCATTTAGTTAAATGAAGACTAGGTACCTTGGGCGACTTTTATGGAACAAAAAGATCATAAGACGGTAGGTCCTAAACAGGTTGTATGATAATATCTATGACCTTATTTGAAACAAACGGGCGTTCGTGGTATTGACTTGTATATCCTCATAATGAATCTGTATACGTATTCAATATATTTCACTATTAATACAATAGTGTATGAAGTCAAAATGTTTATTTTTTCAGAATCAATTAAAAACGTATTACTAACTTCCTTTGAAAGATATGTCTAGATTACAGTTTATCACAGACATCTAAACAATTCCTACTTTGTTATAATTATTAATACAAAGATCACTCTTGGAAAAAATCTTTCGATTCGGCTGGATTAGAACCAACGTCTTCCAGCAAACCGTGTCAGAAGAAACCGTGCTGAAAGACGTTGGTTAGTTGAATATCATAATGGTCTAAATCGTGACATTCAATAACTAAAAATTAAAATTTCTTACTTGCCAAATATATTTAAAAATAAAAGGGAAAAAATCATTCCATAATTTTGAGTAAGGACTGTTTTGTCCAGAACCAGGTCTCAAAAAGTTTGTCTCATTTTGAGTTAAGTCAATATTAATATTTATGAAAATAAATTTACATAAATTACGTTCACTAATATTATAACCTTGAATTCCACATATATTGAGTTAGAACAATATTGTAATGGCAGGGGTTGTGAACCTGGAAAGCGCATCAATTTACAAAACCCGTATCGGGCCAGCATGGCGGATCATGGCTTATTCCCTCTATATTTTAGAGAAGATCCGTGCTCAGCAGTGGGTCGTACAATGGGTTGATGATGGTTATGATGATAGCTTGCGAAGAAGATTGCGATGAAACCAGCATGTCTCCAGTCTCTCAACTATATAGATTTCATCAGCGTGGTTTACTAAGACCTCAGGAGTGTCCTGCTGTGGAACGTATTCAAAGTTGCTTGCAGTGACCGATGAACTTGAACTTGACTGGATAAAAATTACCTTGCTAATTTGTATATGTATATATATTACTAACGAATCCGGTTTTTAATGTTATGCACCGTACAATATACAAATACAAAACAATTTAATTCACAACAAGATTGTGCACTGTTCATTTTAAATTTATATACAAAAAACCAAGAACTGACCGTGGCGTAAATGGTGTACAGATATCTAATCATTCCTTCGCTAGGCTAGGCCGTCTCGCAAGTAACCAATTTATCCTTGTTACAGGTGTAAAAGACCATTACTAATAAATAACTTTTTTTTTTAAAAAAACCTGACTTCACAAGTTCGCGGAATTACATCTATTTGCCAAGTTGTATGGAAATCTATTTATTTATTTATTTATTTATTTATTTATTTGCATTCCATGATGTACATTACAGATGTTTTACATATATTGAGATCAAATTATGGAGCCTGAACAGGGCACAGCAAATAGTAGAAGAGAGGACTAGTCTCATAATTGTTACACTTACTACTATATAATTTGATATATACCAACGCCAACAGCTTTATATTATTATATTTATTATCGACTAGTTACTAAATTCAGATACCAAATTTATCTTCTAAAAACTCTTTTACATTATAATAGCTTTTCTTTATGAGAAAATTCTTTAAGTTTTTAAAGAAAATCTTGTTATTTTGTTCATTTTTTATAATTTCCGGAAGATTGTTATATATTTTTATTGACATGGTGTATGGACTAGATAAATGCATATTTAATCTTGAATATGGTAGTACTAATCTGTTTATATTTCGTAATGTATATTTAGTGGGGATGGCTTTACGGTTTTTATATAAGTCTTGATGGTTTCGTACAAATTTACAAACTTCGAGTATATAGATACATGGGAGAGTCAGGATTACCGAACAGTGCATGAAACCGGATTCGTCCCCTACTTTGCCATCCTTAGAGGTGGAATATTTTCTTCGAATTTAAATGGTGCCCAGATTGGGAAGTGCTCCCTTTCTAACAAAAAATAATCATTAAAATCGGTTCACAAATGTCGCAGTAATCGGGTAAGATACAGTCAAAAAAAAAATACAGTCCGTTTGAGCACCTCGTCTTTTATTGAAGTTGGTTAAAAAGGAGTTTAGCGAGAGAATTGTACATGATATTAACCATTAATAAAAGTAAACGTGAAGTATTTAAGTAATATATAAAATTTGTAAGAGTACGAGATGTGTTTTTTTTTGTTAGTTTCATTGTTGATTGATCTCTGTCATGAAATAAGTATGCATTTAAACAAATTATACAGATAGATTACATAAGTATGGAACCACCACATTTATTCACACGGTATCGCCTTGAGACGATCAAAAAGAATCCTTAAGTTCGTGCAAAAAGAGCGAAAAAGACAGAAATACAAATTCGTGACGATAAGTGTAGTGACTCCCATCCCGCAATGATACGCATGACAACATCTTTACAGTTCTTGAGAAACGTGTGGATTTTTGGAAACTCGCTCCATAAAAAACGGTCGCAAAATAATATTTTTTTACCTCGCTCGCTCGAAAAGGCTTCCTTCTCATTCAAATATGTGCCGTAGCGCAAACGTGCAAAGGCGTTTTTTCCACACTAGAGTGGTTTTTGAAATTCGAACTTGACGGAGGACTACGGTGCACCTAACTTGTTCTTTCGATTAAAAAGCATAATGACACGTTCAACTACGCTATTTGCCGTACATTATTTATGTAATATAAATCCGTTATCAACGATAACTAATTTTGTTTATTAAAACTGACTTGTTGCACTTCAACTGTTTTCCTTTTATCTACCATTTTCCTCGCTGTAGTGAGGTGAAAAGTTATTTTGAGTATCGTGACTTGAAACCCTTTCTACTTCGCTAGCTCAGATTTCGATGGAAGCACTAGCGACAAACAACAACTTTGCAAGCCTTGCATTGTTGGCAGCAGCAACATTAATGTAATTTTGTATCATGGCAACATTGTCAAGGCGCTTAGCCTCCTTCTTTTTTGGTACGATTAACGGCGTAATGTGTGCTCTTGTAATTCATAATATTAACATTAAAATTTAATGGTTTCAATCGGAGTGTTTTCTTTGCCATCATCACCAGCGCGTCAAGCTCTCCACAACCAGCATAACAAATAACATTTAACATTAACGCGTCTTATTAACATTTACTATAAAATTGATGTCCACAGATTTTATTAGCTTGATACATTTTGAACATTATAAAGTTAACTCATGATTTTAATACATTATATTCACACACCAGTAACACAAACTAATTATGACTCTATATTTTGAATGAAAAAATTGACCAGAACATTTGAGGTAAATTGCAAAATTTTACTAGAAAAATGTACACTTAAGCACTGTATTACCGCTGTGAATTTTCATAAAGTCACTGTAATTTAATTGTTTTAAGCTCTAATCAGTGCGCATCACTATGGGTCAAAAGAGTCCTACAGGGAGCGAATTTTAGGCCACAGTACAGCACCCTGTCAGACACCCAAAGAACGTCATTATGTGTTTAGTTCACTTTTTAAATTAAACAACAAAACACAGCTTACCTGTTTTGAAGTAAGCATTGTCGGTCCAGTATCGCACCCAAGTCCGAACTCAAGTGAGCCGCGCGCGACTCCCTTCACTATTTATACGCGTATCGAGACTTTACGTGTTATCCATCTTAACTAGTCCTTGCCAATTCAAATCCTAGATAGTTTGGCAAGTGGCTTTAAACTCAGAATCTACGTACAATAAGTATATCTAAGATCATATCTATTATGAATTGATACATAAGGTCTTGTAAAGATAAATATATAAAAAAGGTAATTAGTTACCATTGTTCTGGTTGATTACTTGGTAGTTAGCTTAAAAAGAATTATGTTCATAGAATAATTTGATGTTTTTAATTGCTTCAACAATTTACATGACTGTCTACAACGGTTGCTTGTAAATGGAGAGGTCAACGACGATTTGAATCCTTGTGACGCCGAGCACCTTTAGTTTCTATGTTCTAAACATTCACAAATGTGAATGCAAGTGAAAGCCATACCTCTCTCCAAAGAAAACATAGTGATAAAACCTTCAAGATGAAAAATAAAACGTGTGAAGTTGTGAATTATGTGGTATTCTAATCGCAAGTGTCTGTGCTTTTCGGTCCCGGTCCAGGAAGCGGCATACGCAATCGTATAAAGTTTTCGCTCCTTATTTGTAGAACTAATCTCGATCAACAGTATCTTCTGTGTTGCATGTGTTATTCTTACAATGCTGTATCTAAAATTGCGTGCAAAAAAAATTTGTGTGAAATTTGCGTTACCTACCCAGTGTTAGAGAGACGGTACAAAGATTATAGTTAGAAACAAAAAAATGAACCTTGTAGATATAGTTGTATTTCTAAGTATAACTTTAGATGCTAAATTGCAATGGGGTCCACATTATAAGTTGTCAAAATGGCTTAGCTCTGCAGAGGATGCGATTTAAAAAAATTGAAAACTTTCAGACGTCGAAACCACCAGTTTGGTTTACTTCAACTACTTTCACAGTTTAATGTCTACATTTTGCTTTGGAATAAAGCCACTGGTATTAATAGAAAATTTGTCCTGCAGAAACGTGCGGGCTCCAGAGTGTCGTTCATAGATAAGTTTGAATTTAATGAATAAGGCGGTTTCAGATGTAATTTGCTTATGTATGAAATAAAGATGATTCGCTTTGACTTTGAATGCTATGAGAGTTTCCAATTCTCTGGTTTTTTAGTCTCAACTTAGAACTTGATTAAAAAGTGCCTTGTATGAAATTTTTGTTGTGTGTTTTGTTAGAATATTAGATACATATTTAAAGGAAATAATAAAGGTTTCGAAAACAAATGAATTTACAGCGAACTGTGGCTGTAATACCTACTAAGGTAATTAAAATGAGTTACTGAAAAATAAACACAGAATAAACCGACAAAATAAATCATATTTAGAAAAACAATCAAGAACTTGTGCAAAACTGTACTTTCAAAAAATATTCTAAACTTCCGAAAGAAACTTACCGATGCATGTCCCATGTTGTAATTCATAATTTTTTCGTATAATGAAGTACTTGATTATAAGTATCGAAAATTTTGATACAAGGTCGTTTTTAAATTTATTCTAGGTAATTTACGATATGAATGGCTAACAATAATTTTCGGTAAAATATAAAAAAAAGTCGTAGAGTTTACTTATTTATTTATTTGGTATCCCAACATATGCAATATCCAATACAATTTGGATTTTAATATATATCTTAATGTCCTCCTGTCCTGCTGTTGCTGGGTTATATAGGAATAGAAAACACAGCGTTCTTATATGACATCAAACAGACAACAACTAAGGAGCAGAAACTGAAGTTTTGTGAACCGAATAAAAAGTCCCAATCTGCCTTTGGCGAGGAGATGGACTATGATCTAAACTCTGTTTTTAGTAGAGACCCTTGTCCTATATTGGGACGTATAATGTTGAAGACGACGATTATACGTTGAAGATCTTTATGAAGTGGTTTCGAGATATCGCGGCCCTCAGATATAATGCAAGCAAGAACATCTTACATGCTTAAACGCTGCAATTTTGGTTTGTATTTTCCTTATAAATTTAAAAGTCCAAAACATAGTGTTCTTATTACGAAAGAACCCAGTGAATACGTGAATAAATTTACTCATATATGAGAACATTGGGTAACCCAGTAGGAGAACTATTCATCATTAACCCATTTATACGTCCCATTACTGAACACGGGTCTCCTCTCAGGCGAGGGATTAGGCCATAGTCCGCCACTCTGGCCCAATGCGGGATGGGGATTTCACACATTTTCCGAAAGTTGTGAACCTTTTTCGACGGCACAGGTTTCATCACGATGTTGTCCTTCACCGAAAAGCTCATGGTAAATTTCAAATTAAATTTTGCACATAAATTCAGAGATGCGAACCTCGATTCGAAGCCACGGCCTGCTTGAGTGGCGGTAGATCAAACACCATCAGGCTTTAGAAATCGTCATACTGATAAAACTGTACTGCTCATTCGTTAGGCAGATTCCCCTGAGAAGAATGAGCAAGAAACTCTTGGGGTTGTTCTTAATAAATATACATTTGAATACATTTATCATTACAATGTTTAATTTAAACATCTTAGATCGAGATTGCAAGAGGTCTCTACTACGGATTTTTGTCATCCAAGTACGCAGAAGCTGTATAACTTTTAGTACAAAGTTTTTATTTCACAATAGTTTTAAACCCCGTAAATGGCAAATTTTGAATATCAATCGAAATCTTATTAAATAATCGTATGCATTGACCGTTAAATGAATTTGAAACTTTGTGAAGACGACAGTCAATAACAGTTGGTTTATTTTTATTCCTCGTATTATGTCTGCAATTATTTTTCATAAAAATATTAATAATATTCTTCTTAACATAAATAACATTTTCAAACGTGTACTGTGTGTAACGTGGACGTTAGAGTAAAATGTTTTTTATTTAATTATCTCTCAGAGACACTCTGAGTCCAAATTATGAATTGCCGTAACCGCACGGTTCTGCAGGACAAAGATTCTATTAATATCGGCGGCATTACACTAAAGCAAAATGCCGTATGTCATTAAACTGTGAAACTGTAAAAGTAGCAATATAGTGGAGTGTTTTCACAAAATAACATTAGTTTTATAATAGTGTCTGGACAGAGAACTAACCAAGTCCGAATAAGTGTGGAAGGAGAGATACGCCACGGCGTCACTCATTCCGCTGTCGGAGTACCTGGCAAGGTCTACCTTGGCAAACTTTGTTGTCTCTAAATAAGTTATGGATCCTAAACAGCCGAAGTAAGGAGAGCATGTACAGGCGGGGTTATAGCTCGGACAGCGTGTTTATTGGAGGTGTCTCTCCTCAGACTATGGCACATCTTTTGTCTTGTCCTGCGTGCCCCTACACCTGCCCACGCGAGGTCCTGTAGAACGCCACTGATAATGCTGTGTCAGTCGCCAAGTACTGGTCCTCACAAATATAAACGTCAGAGTCGACACGCTAAGAAGTAGAAGATTCAATAAAAGAAATACTGGGTTTATTTGTCAACGTCTTGTGGCTGTACCTCTCGTTAGGGGTGAAGTGATGAAACCTGCATTGCCAAGAACATTCACAACCGTTGCTAAGCATGTTAAGTCCGTAACCCGCATTGAGCCAGCATGGTGAATTATAGCTTTAACAAATAATGAAATACCCCAACGGCCCAACGGTTACCACAGTAGACACTGTATGTAGTAGAACCAATTTGAGATATAGACTTTCCTAAATTGATTCTGGTCTGTGTATTCAGGATAGTGCCCCAGAGTAAATTTAGTAGCAGTAGAGCTTCTTGTGAGAGAGTTCGTCCAGGCAATTACTGCCACATTACCTGTTTTTGAAGCCAAGTATGTGAGCATTAATGCATTCCGGTTTTGAAGGGCAAGGGTGCTGGTGAAATTACGGGCAAATGGGACTTGTCAACTTATGTCTCAGGGTAATAAGCGCAGTGGCAGTGCCCC